AATAAAGGAACTGAACTCAACTGGACCGTTTCACCGTTGTTCTTGGGCTGGGTCTGACAAATTCATTTACATATAAGAGAACAATAATTTCCTGTCAAGTCTAGCCTAACCCACACATATAGGTTTTCAGTACACAGTACACCACTTTCAGTACACAGTTCACTCTAGTGTACTGGAGAGACGACCTTTGCCCTCCAGATGTTGGATTCCAACTCCCATCAGGCCCAGCCAGCAGTGTCATTGATGAGGAAGGCTGGGAATTGCAAGTTGACATGTGAAGGGGCATAAGATAGTCTGCATTAGTACTCCTAATTTTGTAAATGATAAATATATATTTCTTCAAATTTGGAATTAACTTGTGATTTTATAGTGGTGTAAAAATGTTGGGGGTAACCTTTTGCAGGAAGTATGACAGTATGTTTTGCCTTATGGAAGAATCAGACGCATTGTAACTCAGAAGCTTGGTCCAACCATCCTGGGCAGGGTCATGGTCTGGCTGAGCTGAAACCTGGGAAACCATGGTTATTCCAGTTTCAGGCAAGAAATGTTCTGGTGAGGTTGTATAGCGCAAGTGGGCAGAGTTAGTACACCTTGCCTCTCTCTTTCCCTCCTCCTTCGCTGCATGGCTTGTGTTCCCTCTGTAAGTTACTTTCCCTGACATAGCGCGCCCAGGACTGTCTATTTCAAGCACAGAATATTTTGCACATCCCTAATGCATCTGGATAGTGTTCTAGCCTCTAAGTGATGTATCTATCTTGTGACCTGGATTTTAACATATATATATTTCTCATGACTTTAGAGCTGTTTACAGCGCTCTTTCAGAGCTGAAGTCTTCACCTGTCCTGCTTGCCGACATGACCTTGGAAAGGGCTACACCATGGTTCCCAACAAGATACTGCAGACACTACTTGACCAGTTCTTCCCTGGTTATAGCAAAGGACGATGATATGTATTCATAACCTTCTTCTCCAAATGACTGAATAAACTGTAAAAAAGCGAACAATCTAGGAAAACTCCAACAGTGGACCAGCCAACTTGAGGGAATTCATATTACTGTCACATTGTGAAGCCGCTAACTCAACCCTCTTTCCCATTTAGCAATCTTTTGTGTAGTAAGAACTTCACATTCACAGCTTCCTTTCCAAAAAGGTAGTTTTGAACAGACGACCATTAGTTTGTATGCAGGAATAGAAACTTTCTTGGCTCTGGCCACAGTAGTAGCAGGTGCTTCAGTTGTTTTTATAACTACCTCAGATGGAGAAAACAATTTTGGGGGAAGTTTAAGAACACATCAAATGAAGTTTAGCTACACACTGCCTCCTGAACATTAGTTTTGCCTGATCCGTGCAATTTGATTTTACAACAAGAAAACAGTACTTAAGAAGCCAGTTTTATTGCAGAACATCAAATTCTGTGGTGTGCATAATTCTTTATTGTGTTTCCTCTCCTGCTGTCTTTCTTACTCCTTTTGCAAGAACAAGCTTTTAGTCTATTTTTGTGAGCGTTATTGTGCTCTCGTATCTTCTGCAAGTTGACTACTAAGGACTGAGAACAATATGAATGCATTGTTGCTGTTAATGTAAAGTGATTTGTGTTTTTTGCACTTAAAGAGGGTATTCAAGACACTCTAGTTGTGTAAAAACTATTTCATATAAAACAAGCCACTTTTGTATTAGGTAAAACTGTTTGCTTTTAGTAGGTCTTGTATTAGTGGCAATACATCTTATAAGCATTGAAAGCAGTGCTAGCTTGGAGAGGGCTCAAATTGCTTCATATTGTGATCTGAAATTTTATATACAGTATATTCCCCACCCCTGAATATACTTATTAAATATTTTATGATTCATAAAGTGTTGATTGTTTGCATTTTACACCCATAACATGACAGTAAGTAATTTCCTAAAATAGTGTTTTTATATATTACATAAAATTCCATTTGAAATTTTGATATGCAGGACAAGTAAACCTGAAGTTTACATTAGTCCTTTGGCATTTGCCTTGCAGAGTTATATATTTTAAAATACATTTTTATAAGACTTTCATTCTGAGGAGTTTACATTTTCATATCAGCTTTTGATTAAAGTTAGCAAATTACTACTACTATCAGAACAGATAACATTGAGTACTTACATACTAGTTTAACATATACATAGCTTTTCATGCATTTCTTGAATCCTTACATGGAGAAGCTGGTATTATCCCTATATTACATATTAAAACCGAACCTTTTGGTTCTAAGTCAGATATGATACTGAACCTTGGATTAGCATTATTTAACCAGTTTGGGCTTATATTTCCTTTTTTTTCTTTAGCAGAAAGAAATTAGAATAAAACAAGATGCTTTAAAATAATGGGTGTCGAATTCACATATAACACTACACCAGAATTTTTAACTTAAAAGGTTAAAGCCATAGGGACCTAGTTTACATGTAATACATGTAAAAAATAAATATTACGGCTTTCATTATGGATGAACTGGGCCAGTATCTAAACTCAGGCTGGTTTACACTATACTTAGTCAATCAGCCAGGATAACAAAACTACAGTTAATCATGACTTATTTGAATTATTCAGTTTAAATAAACCAGAGTTTTTCAACTGTGATAGCAAAAGGAATCTAGTTAGATAAAAATTGAAAGCAGAACTTTTCTGTTTCCTCCTTGGAGACACAGATTAAATAATGATTTTGCTAGATCAGCCAGCAGTCTGTTTTAGACATAAGAGTACTTACGGAATTTGTGGCCAAAGCAGGATAAGAAAGCAAAGGTTGCATTAGTACATAACCCTAAGTTCATAAATGGTTTTAGCTACTCCGGCAGCAATAGCAGTCTCCCAAGCTGATCCGTTTCCTTCAGTGACGAGACAACCATGAAATTAAAAGCTTTCATTTGGGCTTTCAGTCGTGGTTAGTCAGTATATCTTCAGCCTAGACAACGTTTTAATTATCTTCTACTGCATGCCCAGGGAACCTCTAGCCTGCCTAGTACTGGATTCTGTGCCCCATTTCTCTTATCAATTGCCAATAGTGATGAGGTGTAGTGGGGATTAGAGGAATGATACTGGAAGGAGTGCTGTTCCCCAACTCTTATCTAGAAAACCAATTTCAAACTGATCAATGATCCTTGCTTATTTCATAAAGATAGTTAATGCTAAGCACAAGTGCTATCTTTGCAGTTAAGACCCAGTTCACACATAAGCATGGTTTGTACATAGAGTTATGCCCTATACACCTAAGATTAAATTGTAAGTTAGCATTATGTATAAACCAGACCAAAGTTAATAATTAGGGAGAATATGAGAAGAAATAATTCAGTGGCCAATTTCTGACATGCTAAAGAATGACGTTTTGAACAAGCTATAGTGTTCTGGTTTGCCAAAGCCATAAACAAGGACTCAACTATCTTGCACAATGACTCAAGTATTCCCCTGCCTCCTAGCACAAAATTAAAACTGCCAAATTTTCTGGAATTTTGATAACCACCTTTGAGGTGGCTAGAAATTTGTGAAGCTTTGGGAGAGGCAGAAATAAATGTTGGGTTTTCATGCAAGATTTCAGCATTTTAAAAATACTGAAATAAACCATTTTATGGGGATGGTGGTTGCCTTTTCCTGATCCCTGCCATAAGTCATGGCCTAGAAATCACAATGACTGGCTTTGTGTACCACACTACTAATAAAATGTTGATCATTTTTCTCGTACATCAGAACAGTTCACTCTGCTTCGGAGTAATTCCTGTTGAGTTACATGGAGTTTATCCCAAGTTTCGTTACTGTGAAATTACCGCCTCAGGGTCTACTGGAGCATTAGTTGCAGGCCTTTTTTCCCCACAAAAACATTTGTTGTTTGGATTCTAATTATATGTAGGAGGCACTTTATTATTCATTTCCTATCCCTGCAAGCTTCTCTGAAACCAGAGGTGGTAAGCGCCACACTAAATTGGGTGTATTGTGGTTCTTTTTAGGCAGCTGTTAAGGCAGTTTTCGTAGCAGCCAGCTTGCCATCAATGTCTTCAAGTTGGAATTCTCTTTTGATAATTGTGGGCATCTCTCTGTTTAATGTGAGATAGTAGCTTTAAAAAGTTACATGTTTGATAATTGTGGGCATCTCTCTGTTTAATGTGAGATAGTAGCTTTAAAAAGTTACATGTTTGATAATTGTGGGCATCTCTCTGTTTAATGTGAGATAGTAGCTTTAAAAAGTTACATGCTTTTGATGTGTGCTGTAAAGGATGTGTTCTCATCCTTTAATTTCAATAAATTCAGATTGTTGCACTTGCATTTAATTGCTGTAGCATATTGTAATTGATTATACTCATGACTGCTGTAATAACACTGTTTTCCAACAGTCCTGTATCAGATTACACCACGCCAAGTTTTACAGGAAGTCATATTTCAAGAAGTGTGTCTGACCCACATGGGTGTGCGTGTGTGTGTGTGTGTGTGTGTCTGTCATCATTTATGCCTTCTTAAGTCAGTCTACCGAGTTGTAACAAAGAAACTGGAAATTAGCCACAAGCTACAGCTCTTGCACTGAATGCATTGAGCCAGTTTTTCAGTTTCACAGAAAATGGCTGACTAAGTAATATTCAAATGATTAACCTAAAAGGGAACGGCTTTCTCTTTTGCCGAACAATGTGCCCTTTAAAAATCAGTATTAGGGCAAAAAGTATTAGAAATCTTAATGCTAGCAACCCTGGAGGCCATCTTATGTTCCCACAAGTGTAATCATTTGAGCCCTTGCAAAGCCTCTTAAGGTTTTGAGACTTAGGGAGGGGTGTGTGAGATCACAAATGCCTTTGAGCAAGGGTCCTAGGCCTACTTGGCTAGCATTAGAGTCTATATTCTGAAGAAGGTGACCTATTTTTTGCTACACAGATTGAAATCAGACTTCAAAAACTCTTAAATCAGCTAGTTTTTATTGGAATATTAACAGGAGAAAATTTTAAAAATATCAGTTCTAGGATATGTAATTATAAACAACAAAGATGTATTGCCATAACCTAACAGAGTGTGGTACATACTTAAAAAAAAAAAAAAACACCTGCATTCGACCATATCAAACTGCGTTAATGGTTGTCCATGACTTCATTTCATACAAAATGAATAGTAACTCCATTTTACTAACAGCCCAAGTCCAAAAGAAACACATTATAAAACTATCTCCAAAACAAATTGGGGTTAATAATTCTGTATCAAGGGCGTTTCAGGGAGTAGAGGCATAGTCACGGCACTGTCTAAACAGCGTATTGCTTTTGTTCATACCGTTCTATGCTTATTATTAATCACAGAAAAACAGCCCTGATTCTGAATAGAACAGAGAGGCTTAATCAAGGCCACTTTAGCATGGATTGATATGGCAACTGAGGCACTGTATCAAATCAGTTGCCGCTTAATAAAAGTATATTTACAAGTAGCTGCACAAAAATTTAATTAACAGCATGGAGTTTTCAAAAATATACATTGTATATAAAGCTTGCTCACTGGGCTGAAGATTTCATCTGTCTTCACAGACTGCTAGAAATGCAGCAAGAAAAATTGAGCCCAGTGATCTGAAAGGTAATTGAAAGGGTGGAAGGAAGCTGGTCCTAAGATGATGCTCTCTTCTGTTCAGCAAAAGGAGATTCGTAGACCTCCATTGGTGGGCAGGTACAAATAAGATGCTGATCCCCATAGATGTCATCAATTCTGGCAATTGTAGGCCAAAATTTATTTTCAGGTTTCACAAATGGCTAAAGAAGAGGAAGAAATATTTAGAAAAGCTATCTAGTATAACATTTGAACTACAAAATTAGTCATTACAATGTGCTTACGTACATTAAAAAATTAATACGCTGCAGGCAGTAAAATGCATCAGGGAAAGGAAAACTTTCAAGGCAAGGCATCGATTATAAAGCCCTACAAGATTTGGAAACATGCTCTGGGGATTCTTTTTCTTTTCTCCAAAGCAACTTTTTGCAAGTCAGGCCAGGAGTTTCAGAGATGTCAAGTTGTTCCACTCATTACTTTAAAGTTGGACTGGGTAACCTGCACTCTGCCCTCCCAGCACCCAAAAATTCTGCCACTGAAACTCAATGGTACAATTTTTGTTTGTCTTCAAAAATAAGGGTGGGAATGAAAGTGGGAATCCTCTGCAAGACAAAGTTCCAATTTGCACAATTACACCTCACCACAAATGACCCCAAACTGCACTAGTGAAATGACCATGTTGCTGCTGAATTTCAATACTACCACTTTGGGCTCTTCCAGAAGTACTGAAGGGTGGGAGTGACTAGCCGCCTGTAGGTTTCCCACTTCTATTGCCACCTTCTAATTCCTACCACCACCACCGCGGGCTACATTTGCTCTGCATTTTCCTGTGATGTCATCAGCCCTTCCACTGATGTTAACTACGGCCCTCCAGTTGGCCAGGATAACCACTGTGGTTTAATCAAATGTTGCTTGCTGTACTTTGGACATCATGTTCTTGTTAAAACAGTTTTATTAGATTCTTGTAGATCAAAACAAAACAGAGATCAATTCTTTATTTCACTTCTTGTGGGGGCAACAAAATCCTTTGCATCCAATACAGGTAGTCCCTGGGTTAAGAACGCCCAGTTTATGGAAGACCCATAGTTAAGAATGGAGCCTACTGTAGCAAAATTTGATTTGACTGAAATACAATGGTTCGAGTTAATTACACAATACTACTTATACAGTATTATACAATAATACTGTTCCAGCTTACATACAAAGTTGACTTAAGGACAGACCTGGGGAATGGAACTCATTCTTAAACTGGGGACTCCCTGTACCCCCTTTTCAGTTCAAAGCAAACCATGTTTGAACTTGCCAGTTTCCAAAGCAGTTGGTCAAAAGCCACTGCTAGGAGGGCTACTTTTTTGAGACAAAAATCTGAGACTCTGCTGAAAATTACAGAATTAGTTTTATGTTTCTCTTTAAGCCCACTCAAGAATATTTGAGTAATTCTTGAGTAGGACTACTTAAGTATTTCGTCTTTTCAGTATGAATAGGAACATCATTTCAGAATAGGGATAATAGCAGTTTGAACCACAGTTGGACGGATTCAAACATAAAACAGAAGCTACGCTACACTTTTTTGTATATTCCTTTCTGTTAAATCTGTATTATGCTCTGCTGACTTTTCCTGGCCTTAGAAACCCTCCCATGTATAGACTATCTGCCATATTCAGCACAGGAAAGGCATCCTTGCATTTTTTCATGCAGATATCTATTTTTCTAGTGCACATAGCGTTAAACCTGATCATGACAGAAACTGCAAAAGACAGAGAAAAACTTCATCTCCTCTTCCTCTAAGGCAGCCCCAAGGAAAACCCCTTGAATGCAGTAAGGTGAGCATGATGTCTTGCCTGGTCCTCAAATACACAATAGAGGGTTTTTGGCACATCTGATGGAACAGCTTGTTGGCTCTGTTTTAAAACTGGCCAGAACATTTCTAATAAAATTATTGCTCAAAATATATTTATGAAATGGTAACTCATTACTTACTAGTGGAAAAGCAGCCACTTCCCTAGAATATGGGCGATCCCAGTTGGGTGCAGCCAGGCAGGTCAAGGTGTGTGGGGCCATCTAAGTCAAAGAAATTTAGTTTAGATCCCACAAAAGAACAAGAGTTTATGTCAAACTGCTTCAATTGTGAATAAGGAGCAACCGCTAGAAGTTACACAAAGCAAAAATAAAACCTCCCTGAGCTTACCTTTAAGGGGTTAACTCTAGCATCCATTCTTCCTTCTTCTATATCAGCTATTTCTTGTCGAATACTGATCATGGCATCACAAAACCTGTCTAGTTCTGCTTTGTCTTCAGACTCGGTCGGCTCTATCATGAGGGTTCCTGCCACTGGCCAGGACATTGTTGGAGCGTGGAATCCTAGGAAATATGAATTCTAATTGTTCACATGATGTTTAAAGTAATAAACCTCAAGAGCCAGAAGCACCCCAACCATCCACCCACTCTAGAGTCAATCTCTGATCTAATCAGCTTTATGAAGACAACATGTATGAAATAAAAGCAAATACATGCATTTCTGGATTTTGGTTAAAGCCATTTGTATGTCCTGTCCTATCTACTCTTACTATCTTGATGCAAAAAACCCCCATCAGCAGCTTTCTCTCTCCACTCACCACGTAGTCACACTTTGCAGCAGCATTACAAATCACATCTCTGCTGGTTGTCAGATATGTAGCATTCCAAATAAAGTGGTTAAGAAAAGAAGAAAAAAACCTCACCATAATCCTGAAGCCGCTTAGCAACATCCGCAGCTTCAATATTTGCAGTTTTCTTAAAAGGCCGAGTGTCCAAAATAAATTCATGAGCTACGTAACCTGTTTAGGAGTAAAGATTTATACACATCAATCTTTTTTAGAATAATAAAATATGAGCATAGGATGTTTTGCATGTCCCTTGACCCCACTGGTCTTGGTTGTATGTGTTAATTTTTAGCTGAATATTGTGTAGAACCCAGTATGGCTTCATTTATGAGGGACAAGATGAAACAGAATTCTCTGTAACGTTTCAGAAAAGTAATTATCTTAATTCTCCACTGATGTTCTTCAAAAATGTTAGTTTGAATGTGTGTATGTATGTGTGTGTGCACATGCATGTAAAATATTAAAACTGCTCAAGGACATAAGGCAGCCCGTGTGATATCATGGTTAAGGTGTTGAATTAGAGGTGGGGAGGCCCAGGTCCTAGTTCACCCTCAGACACAAAAGATGCTGCTTTTTGCTCCTGAGTAAAAGATGGGATAACACTCTGATGAATACATAATAAATAAGGGGGGCTAAGCATATTTCACTTTCAGATGCCCCTATAGCTTCTGAAAATTCCCTTGGGAGGATTAATTTAATTTTTATTCTTTCCAATCCAACCAAATGTTGGAAAGAAATTATATAATGGGGCTTGGAATGTCATTTCTAGGTCCCACAGCAGGAGAACTCTCCAAAAAAAAACCAGAACAGAATGAGAATGAGGCCAGAAAAATAAAGTTCTAGTTTAATCATGGGCCAGAATTGGTCAGGGGCTGCAGAGAAAAAAAAA